GAGAGAGAGAGAGAGAGGTGGCAGAACTTTGCCCTTATGATTGTAAATTTCAGGAAGGAGAAAAGAAAGAGAGCTGAAATCTTTGCAGAGGAAGCAAACCACACATCCACGGATGACTGAAACGTTCTGTTTTTACCTTGATAACGTCAACCACGACGAGTCGTGACGGATTGATTCTATATAGATTGAAGCAATACATAATACTTCATATTTATTCATGAGAATTTTTCTCAACGAAGGAGTATTTTTCTTAACAGATTTATGATATTTCATCATGCAGTTAGGGAGATCTTGACTGTTGTTAAGGTTATTATCACAGGAGATCATAACTATTATCATACTCCCGCGACGGTGTTTCTGTCAAGGACATCGATCTTAGATCGATGTGATAAAAGCGATTTGCGGGTGAGAGGCTTCGTGAAGGAGTCGTGAGAAACATGTAGTTGATGTCTGACAACTTGTTCTCGCATAAACTAAAAGTCGATGGCGATGTGTTTCATGTGTGAGTGGAATACCGGATTGGCACATAGATAAGTGGCTACGACATTGTCATAATATATTGTAGGAGTAGAGTGGATCTTGATACCAAGTTCCTTGAGGAGATTCATGACCCAATTGAGTTCTGTAACAGTGGTGACAATGGCACGGTATTCAACTTTATTTGTAAAACGTACAACTGTCTTTTGCTTCTTGGAACTCCAACTGATTGGATTAAGTCAAAAGAAAAGACTATACCCCGATGTGGATGTTCTGTCATCAAAATTCCTTGCCCAATCAGCATAAACAAAGCCATGGAGATGAAGGGGAGAGTGTTTGCGAAAAAAGAGGCCATGATTGACAGTCCCATGAAGATATCATAATATTCGTTTGATTGCACACCAATACATAGTAGATGATCGATGCATGAATTGGGATAATTTATTGACCACAAATGAGATATTTGGATGGGTAAGAGATAAGTACTGTAAGGAGCCAAGGACTTGGCGATATTGAGTTGAGTCTATAGCAGGACTTCCATCACATAGTTTGAGCGACTTGCTAGTAGACAAAGGTGTTGTAACTGCCTTTGCATCTTGCATATTCGTTTTAGATAATAGATCTTGAATATACTTTCGTTATGATAGGAAGAGCCCGAAAGATGTGTATATTGCTTCCACTCCCAAAAAATAGCTCAAGGTTCCTATATCTTTAAAGGAGAATCAATCTACTAAATGCTTGAGGAATACCTTGATTTCCATAGGATTGTTGGCTGTGACAATAATATCATCCACATATACCAGAAGATATAATATATTGCCACTTTGGTAATGAAGAAATAAGGAGGTATCAGACTTAGAGTTGATGAAGCCAATTGATGCCAAAAACGAGTCAAGTTTGGTGTACCAAGCTCTTGGAGCCCGACGAAATCCATAAATAGCTTTTTGTAGTTTATAAGCATACTTTGGATATTGAGGGTGGTTGAAGCCAAGAAGCTGCTGCATGAAGACATCGTCAGTTAGG